TGTGTGTGTGTGTGTGTGTGTGTGTGTGTGTGTGTGTGTGTGTGTGCGTGTGTGTGTGTAGCAGGCAGGACTGGTGTCAGGTCAACTCTGTGAGTGTGGTACTCACAATATAGCAGCAAAGGTCAACAGCGCCGTTATCACTTGAACATGATCGGGCCTCAAAGAGGGAGAGCAGTAGAGGAGGGAAGGGGAGCGCTCTCCCCTCCCCCACAATCACTCAGACCCTTATAATTGCCCATTTTAATTGGAGGTCTCTTAACGACCAGCGACTGGACCAGCCAATCAATTCACACAAGGTGTCTCTGTGCGTGTGTGTGTGCGTGTTGCTGCAGGGTCTCTTTGTAGCACAGTTGATTAGGCCAGATGGGGTCAAGTGAAGGGGAGAGAGGATCGCTCCCATACTGCATTAAAATGTAGAATATGTACTTTTGACAGTCAGTGAGAGAAAACACTCACACCGGAAAAGGACAGAGTCGAGTGGAAGATGGAAATATGAAAAATAATGAGATCACCAATAAGCTGAGCCAGTGATAGAAGGAATGCACTGAGAGGGGGGAATTATTGCTGTAATACTGATGTGGTGATTATTAAGGTGATGTTTAAACCGTTCCTATCTTTCTCAGTAGAGCAGCAACAGAGAAAGCAGCAAGAAGAGCCTGCAGCAGAAATATTGTTACAGTAGCTGCAGAGCAGAAATAGAAATAAAGAAGTTCATTTACTCAGAGCACCTAAAGGAGTCCTGTTGCGCTGTAGAGGAATGCCTTACTGAGGTTTTATTTCTGCCTTCCGTTTTATCGATGCAACATACAAGTGCGCCAACGGCTTGTTGTAAAAGTCAGCTGCAAAAGTCAGCTAAGTCCCAGTTTACTAAGGATTTAATGAACTGGGACATATAACATAGCAGAGTCTCAGCAATGGCAGGATGATAGGAGGTATGTTAGGACACTGTGGAGACTAGTTGCTGGTGATGGCAGCTCTCTCACCGACCAGTGTGAGGTGGAGATGGAGGAGGCAGGATGCATGTCTAAAAGGCAGAATGACAGGAGAGTATATGAAACAGCCTGATTGGCTCACAGAGGCTGGGTAAGAAGATGACTGAACTTGAGTAATGATGACAGAATTGAGCTGGACACTGTGGGAAAAGTGAAAGAGTAGACTAGAAGCCCAAATCCCCAGGAATACACACCTTCCTCAGTGAACTTCTAGGGCTCATTTATAAAATGGTTCCATATTCATACTTGGAAGTCTTCTGATCGTTCCCAACAGCCTGCTTATGTTTTATTCATTAAGGAAAAAAACATACGCTTACGAAAGAAGGCTGTAAGGTCCGCGATAAATTTATTTAATATATAGAATCAACTTAATTCGACAGACCCTGCCTTGTTATTTATTCTTGACTAATGCCAGCTTGAATGAGAGATTATGTCAAGAGCGAGAAAAAGAAAAGAGGAAGTCAAACATGGAGCACGGAAATGCACTGATTGAGATGGGACACATAGTCAGAACTGTAAAGTTCACTGCCAGCTTGGATGCATACGTGTAGCAAAGTGTAATACCCTTCACACCAGCAGTGGGAAAATCACTCATGGTGTCTAAACTTTACACAGAGATAACATTGAGGTCAAAGCAAGGTTTATTTTTTACATTTAAAGCAATTTAAACAATGTTGTTTGTGGTTATAGATGGTTATAGATGAGACCACAGTGACAGTGCATGTAAAATCCATTCAGTTTGTTTTAACTATCAGAGTAAGACACATGCATTTGATTATGAGAATCCAACCCTGTGTTGTGTCTCCCGAATTCATTGTATCTGCTTTTCTATTGTCTGAAACTCTTAAAAACTTGTAAATAATTCATATCACTTATATATTTGTGTTGACCAAAAACCAAGACAGCATTAAAACTAGATGTGTAGAGATGATATTCTTGGTAAGATCTGCGTTATATACTCTTCCATCAGATCAGTGCTTTTGAACAACCCCACAGTCTTTATTTTAATATTTTGTCCTTTATTATACTTTTTATCTTATATGTATGCTATACAACATTGTAGAAGCAAATTATGTTTAAATTACCGTTTCCAGAAGCAGACGTTCCAATTACAGCATCATTTGCAAGAGTTACATTAATAAAATGCTTATAGTTTTACACTATAAAGATGAAAAATTTTCTCTTTCCTATTGGGTTTGTTTTTTGTTTGAATCCATATTATTTTCAGTCTTTGAAATTTAGGTCTTTTACTTGTAAATTATTGCGTTTTTTTTTTTTTTTTTTTTAGTATATCAGACAGATGAGCGGGGAAGTGTGTAAGCCTCCCAGTCGCCTCCTTTACACAGAGATCTACAGCACAGGGTCAGCTGAGGCGCTCATGTTAACGCTATGCTAGTGTTGTGAGAAGGACTAGACAGTGGGAGGTCAGCAGGGGTCACCGTGGCTGTCCTCCGCTGTGATAGGCTGTCACCCGGAGGTTAAGGGTCAAGATAATTAGGTATGCAGAATCCCAGCGCCGGTGTTCTAATGAAGCTTGAGCTCGTTAATGCAGAGTTCTACACTCAGACCTGCCACTAGGCTGTGCTGCACCGTCACACACACACACACACACACACACACACACACACACACTCGCATGTGGACTACATGTTTGCGCGCACACACACGCGCACGCTCATGCCTCTGCTTTGTTCTGGTGGTCCAATTCAAGGGCTGTCACCTCTTGAACAGCAGAGCTTCGGGCTCAGCCACCAGGGAATGGAGATAATACAGACATATTTTCATGAAATCTAACATAATGCAATAGCTCTGCAATCTTAATGTTATAATGGAGTTATAGTATAGGATAGTATAGTATTATATTCAATAATTTTCTGAGATATAGAGGTGTCTTTTTCAATCGTATCTTTAAATATCTTGTGTTGGAGGGCTGTAGTTTGTGTAAATAGTCCTGTAGACCTTTGAAATGGCAAATATGGTTAATGTAAAAAATATTGTATTCGATTGTGTTACAATTTTCATGTGGTGTTTTAGGTTTTCATCCTAGGCTAGTAACACTGTTTGATCTCATTTCTTTGTTTCTGTAAAGAAATTCCTCCCGGATTAAAGTGAAACTGAAGACAATCATCTGCTGTTTATTAACACAAAATTTATTTGCAAAGTAAAAGGTTTTGCATGAGTGCAGAGGAAGGGAAGTGGCGGTCTTCTTTGTGTTTGAGGCTGTGTGATGGGGTATTGCTTTTGTTGAGCTGTGAGGAGCACAGATGTAACACAAATACACATGCAAACATGAACATGTGTGGGTGTTTGTGTTTTTCTGTGCAAGTGTGCCTTGTTGCTTCTGCCAGGCTGGCCAGCTGGCTCACAACAAAACACAACCTGGATGTGTTTGTTTGCCGTTGATGGCCATCTGTGTGTTTGATTTATTCTGTAATATAGATTCATGACATATGGTCCCATTTCAAACACCTAATGTCAACATAGCTCCACTTTTTAATGGCTTGACATCAGGGTTAATGTTAAGAAAGTAGATCCTGAATCTTAAGTTTTGCAGAAATATACAGTTGCTTATTATCTTTAACACTAATTGGATTTATGCTTTTTCGTGACTTATGGAAAGACAGAAACAGCGGGAAGGCTGTAGCTAGAATTTTGAGAGCCGAAATTCACAAAAAGTGTAAAACTTAAGGTCAAACTTATGATTTCCTCACAGTCACGTAGTTTCTGCAGTTTTGCTACAATACTATAAAACTTCCCTTCTCATGTGCTCATCCGCTGTCTTTTTGTGGACTTTTCAAAGAAGCTGCTGTGGATTTAGGAACAAAAAAAGTTCCTTACATCTGCAAGCAAATTCCACAAGGAAATTCATTTTGACTTTCACACAGTATGAAATATTAATTTCTCTCTCTGTTTATGTGGATGTGTCTGCACTGGGCCTGAGCTCGCATTCTGGAGGAAAGTCGAAAGTCTTCACTCTGGTCTATTGTCGAGCTGTTAACCTCAAATATGGCCTTATCCTCTTTGTCTCCACAGATTTTTCCTCAAGTTTTTCCTCAAGTGCAACCAGAACTGTTTGAAGAATGCAGGAAACCCGAGAGACATGAGGAGGTTCCAGGTACAAACCGCAAGATTTTCTTCACTCTCATAATTCATTCCTCATTTTCTTTTGTCGAGGCTTCTCTCTATACCTCGCTGTCTTTTTTCTCTCATTCTCGCCCTTCCCTTTGTCTCCTGTGGACATACCACATAATGACACAAATGCATGGCTGCTGCAACACATATATGCAGGAATGTGTGTATGCGTGTGTTTCTGTGTAAGTAAATAAGCTATCAGCGCCTGTACAGGAAACATGAGATCCTGACCCTGAGTAGTTGGAGCATAAATATACACACAATGCAGGGGTATAGAGGGGAGAGGGTAAGAGAGCCAAGCACAGTGTGTGTGTGTAAGAGAGAGGGAGAGATAGGCCACAAATTGGCAATGATTGTCACGGTCTGGCTGGCAGACCGTGGGGAATGTTGGAGAAAGGACCCAAACGCTGGACTTAGTGCAATGAACAGTGCATTTATTTACAGTGGGGGTAAATGTACACCACGCAATAGGTCTCCAGAGTGCTCCCTCAACTCCTGTGTTGTGCCTTCTCCCAAGTGCTGGTATTCCGTGCTCTCTGCTC